GGGTTTAGGGGTTTAGGGGTTTAGGGGTTTAGGGGTTTAGGGGTTTAGAGGTTTAGGGGTTCAGGGTCTAGAGTTTAGGGTTTAGTCCTTTAGGGTTTAGGTTTTTTAGGGCCTAGGGTTGTGGTATTGCTGCATGTGAAAGGTGTTGCCCGCAAGAAACAAAATCCCAAACATGCCGGGGAGGCCGTCGTGCCTTCACACCATGCAATGTGACTCTCCCAGGTGCTAAAGACTGGTCAGCATGGCAGAAAAGGCTAGGCCCGTGGCTGCGGATGCCACACCTGCGCGAGAAACCGTGCGCAAAAAGCAAACAAGAGTTCAGGGTTTAGGGTTTAGGGTTAGCAATCTGCCATCGTCGGCAAGCCTGCAGGCGATAGAGTATTGCAAAGAGGCCCAGCAGGATAAGCACCGCGCAGCAACCAACCTAAGAGTCACCAAGGACGCTGCGTGCCGGAGCTTCCAGGAGCTTGGGTTGAAAGATTTTCGGGTGTAGGGTTCTGCGGAAGTTCCGTGTACACCTAGACCCTGAACCCTAAACCGTAAACCCTATTCCTAAACCCTAAACCCTAGACCCTAAAAAGGCCCTCTTCAGACCACCGCACTGAGAGCAGGGCGCACCGAACCTTGGGCCGGTAGAACCTGAAGGTGCGCACCTGGGCTGCGTGACATGCGGGATGTTCTTCTAAAATTGGGTTTGGGGTTTAGGGTTTAGGGTTTAGGCTTTAGGGTTTAGGGTTTAGGGTTTAGGGTTTAGCGTTTGGGGTTCAGCGTTTAGGGTTTACGGGTTAGGGGTTAGGGTTTAGGGTGTGGGGTTTCCCCTTTCTACCCCAGATATGTCAGAATCCCCTATATAAGGACTCCCAAAAAGAACCGATATGGGAGTTGATATTGATGGGCCCTTTTGGCACCCTCAACTAGAAGGAACCTACGACAATAGACACAACAAGAGACCCTCATCTTGACCCACCTCCATATGGTCACGAGTGGTGGCGTCATGTCGCTACCACCAGTGCTTGGCAGTGTGGCCTATTATAGGAACCCATCCTCAGCGTCGGACCCGTTCCATGTCGTACTCACCCTGATGCTCACCCACAAGCTGATACCCGGGCACCTCACTCAAAACTCGAGTCCGGTCCACTTTCATGGAGTTCAGCAACTTGATTCTTCTAGGAAAATTCGGGAAGTAGGTACCGCAATCTACCCCCCCCCCCTTTTAAGAGCCATAGGGTACCTACTTCCCAAATGCCCTGGGAAGAGCCCGGCTGACAACCGGGGACGTGGCTAACATGTACTGGCCCCTGCCCTCCCCCACATAGGTCCACTTTGTGGACACCTTGGGGCCCAAAAACGCTTCACATGACTTCCTGGCGCACTGCGGGGGTGTGCAGACAGCAAATGAAGGGCCGCAGGCCTGGTCATCGCTTTGAAGACATGGATCACAACCTGGACTGCTTGCCGAAGCAGCGGTCTGCTGATAAGACCATGGCCCACCCCTTGTAGGTATCATCTACAATGGGGTATTCTTACTCGAAAAGGTTCTCCAATCCCCAAACCCTAAAACCCCAAAACCCTAAAACCCCAAAACCCTAAACCCTATAGAACAGCCCCCAAGTGGCGCCTGCACGTTGCACGTAAAGCTCAGGCGACCCAGAACTTCTGGGGACGTGGCACTCAGACTCGACGTTTGCCGAACCAGCACCTGTGAGATGTGTGAAGGCTCACGGGTAGTTCGAGTTTAAGGTTTAGGGTTTAGGGTCTAGAGTTTAGGGAGCTATAAGAAAGGTGTAAGGAAGACAGCCAATGCTGTAACTTCACTGCACCTGTGAGCGGAGCGCTCAAAACCCTTGTGCGGCCTCAATGCGGAAACAAAAATGCTTACGCTAGCTTAAGATTTCCCAGCTTTTTCATACGCCATGACTTTTTCGTCGTTTCTGCTTACGCCGCTTACGCCGCTTACGCCGCTTACGCCGGCGAACACCTCCATCATCTTTTGATAGAACATGCATCTTTAACAGAGAAAAAGCTAGTTGTAGCTTTGAAAGACCATGCAAAACCCATGCATACTGCAAGTCAGAGCTTGGTTTTTAAGGACACCCTAGCAAAACCCATACAAACACCAGATCAGAGCCTGGTTGTTGTTATGGTAGTTGTTCAAATTACCTGTTCCCAAAACAGCCATGAGGTAGGGTTCTTTCTTTGTAAAGGATTCTCCTTGTGACCTTTCTTCCCATGGTCCATCACTTTAAACAGGACCTTAAGAACAACCGTTGCATATCCCTACTGATAACAAGCCATGCAGCCTTTCAAGTAGATGATGCATTTTGGGGCTGAAGGGGGGAACTTGCTGCCACGGCACCCTCCAGCCTATGTAGCCTCAGGGGGGGTCCAACGAATGGAGATGCGCGCAAACAAAAAAAAAAACACCCCCTAGCTCTTAGTAGGAAATGAGGGAACTCGGGCCCTATAGTATGCCCCTTAAGGGATGATGATGGATTATCTAGCCTCACTCCCTCATTCCCTACTAAGAACCAGCCGGAACCTCTTCAAGAGTTCTAAGGCCAGTGCTTGTCGGAGCTTGCAAATGAATTGGGCATGCACTTAGTTGTCCAGTAACCCGGGGGAACTAAAGGCTAACCTTTGGGATTCTAAGGGGGAGTATATTACCCCCTGAAAAGCTCTAAAGTTACCTACTCTACTACTCGGTGCACGGTGCTAGCCCGGAAGCGCTCTCTGACCGGTATCAAATTACGAACCAGCCTAGAGTTTGAGAGCTCGTGCAAAAAATGGCACCCAAACCTACTGCTGCCTCTCTTGCCTCCGTGACGCTGCTAGGGTTCTGGTGACTGCAGGTCTCCGACCATGATCCATGAAACGGCTTTTTGCTGCTCAGGAGTGTCAGAAAAGCGTGGCTCAGCAAGCTGCCATGCCAGGTGTGCATCCGAACGGAAGGCACCACGATTTTTGTCCGCGGGAGGCGTGCATTGGAGGTACTCGAATTTGCAAGATGACACCACAACTGCGTCCAGGCGGAACTTCGCCACCTTGGTGTGGGTGCGGCGGGGGGGGGGGGGGGGGGAGAATTGGAAGCAAGTACCAGTTCTTCGGAGGGACTGAGGGAATTCGGTGCCAGCTATCGCCCCTAAATTACTCTCTAGTAACCTCTGGGAGAGTACATAGGGCACCGAATTGCAGACTTCCCTACTCAGAACCTACTTGTAATCATGGATCCAGGTGTCAAGAAGCTGCAAACAGCACGCGCAAACGAGCCAAAAGTCTCAGGCGGCCACAACTGGAGCGGTGTGTGAATTGCCCAACTTGTTTAAGTTGTCCCCATTGGCACAGTCAGCCAGGGGAGCTGTGAGACGTATGTACGCAAGTGTCGCAACCATTCTGTGACATGACACCATTCGAATGACCTGAAAAAACCCTACAGTGCAGAGTGGCAGTGCTTGCTGGCTGGGTAGTTTCCAACTAGATGGAAGGTTGCGAACATTGATATTGCACTGAGCTCATCAAACTGTTTTCGCTGATGAGCTCCAACATCAAACACTTTTGCACAAGCATCAATTTGAAATCCCGTGTCGCTGGCCACCACGTTCCAATGGCGGACGTTGACACGGAATCCAGAAGGAAAAGACTACATGGCAGGCCCTGTTGTAGGGATTGCCAGCAACACAAAAAGTTTAGCGGACCAAGACTTGCGGCCCTCACCATCCTGGCCCATCCTGACAGGTGCCAGGCGTGCCACCAACAAGAGGGTTTAGGGTTCAGGGTTTTAGGGTTTAGGGTTTAGGGTTTAGGGTTTAGAGACTCTGCCAAGCAAGATGCAGATCTGGCCTTATGGCTTGTCCTTGGTGTCCGTGTCAGCTTTCTGTGCGGCCACATTGTCTGCGTGCGTTGCATCCGCGGAGTGCGTGCCAAACATGACTGCAGTAGTCACGTGGTGCTCCTCCTTGGAGCCCTTCTGGAGATGCTGCGCAGTGTGCTCTGTGCTCGCTGCGTGTGTGGCGTGCGTGGCGTGCTCTGCTTTGTGCTGGGCTCCAGCAGAGGCATCCTCTTTGTGGGCTCCACCAGAGGCGTCCTCTTTGTGCTGGGCTCCACCAGAGGCGTCCTCTTTGTGCTGGGCTCCACCAGAGGCGTCCTCTTTGTGATGCGCTCCACCAGAGGCGTCCTCCGTCAGTGCCGGCGCATCCTGAACATGGTGGACATGGTGAACTACGTGAACTGCATGATCGAGGAGGTGGGCGCCGATTTGCGCCACAGCACCCGGCAGCTTGTCAAGAGCATCATTGGCCTGTTGTTGCCAGTCACCGTACTGGACGGTCCCATCATCAACAACTTGCGTGCCAGAGATGCCAGAGTATCTGCCATCCGCATCGTAGCTGTAGTGGGAGCCCTGTGGGTATTGGAAGCTATCACCCTCCGTGGTGATGTAGTGACCAGGCTGGGGTACATCGTAGGAGTCGTCGCTGTACACATATTGTGGCTTATTCGCCTCACAGGCGAGGTGACAGAAGCGGAGCCGCGCTCAGAAGCCCAGGAGTCACTTCTCTGAGCTCGAGGCATCAAAGTGGCAGCCTTTGTTGTGGTAAAGGCAGCAGTAGTCCTTTGCGCACAAGCGCCAAACAGCAAGCCGTAGTGGTCTTACAGGATTGGCATCTCTGTGCCTGCTTCGAACTGGGCCATGACTTCGACGAACCAGCCTGACAAGCATTGAACATGCCACGAGCCACGAGCGACATACGTGAGTATGCGCGCTGGTGGGAACAAAGCAATTTTGAGGCTGATATTGCAAAACTGCACGTGCCGGGTGCCGCACATCACAGTCATAACTGCCCTGAGACAGTTGATCACAACTTCTGGCCACTGACTGAATATTGCTCAATCGCCTGTTGCGTCTTCTCACTGAGCATCAGACATGATGAGAGCAACCGAGATCTCTGTGAGCACAGCACCAGGCCGTTTTTGCAGGTGGCCAGACTCGGAAGCACCAGCGACTTCTCAAGATCATCGCGCTGCCACTATTTTCAGGTCAGCTGCCCCGAGAGCTTTGCACCCTAAACCCTAAACCCTAAACCCTAAACCCTGAACCCTGAACCCTGAACCCGTATTCAGTGCACCGTTGCACTGTACGTAAGGAGCAGGCGAGTCTTCCAGCTGCTGAGGCCATCCTCTGAGCTTGACTTCATAGGATTCCCTTTTGTTGCGCGCGTTTTTAGGGGACCTCGGGACTTGAGGTTTGGATCGGGGTTTAGGGTTTAGGGTTTAGGGTTTAGGGTTTAGGGTTTAGGGTTTAGGGTTTAGGGTTTAGGGTTTAGGGTCTAGGCAGTTTGCAGGTAGAGGGGTTTTTGGGTCTATGTTCTATAGGGGTGAGCAACTCACTGCGCCACGGTCCTCGCAGTCGTAGAGGATGGCCATTTCTGGAAGTGGATGTGGATGAGACGGAGGCGACACAGATCCTGATCCTGATGCCTTCTAGCAGGACTCGTGGGTCATTTAGCCGGCAAGCATAGGGGGCGGGTGTCTATTCCATGTCACGGCAGGCGTGGTAGAATATGAGCCCTTTATAAATGCGGTGTTCCACAGATGCATACAGGTTGGGGTGCAACTAGTGGTCTTGCACTCGCAAACTTGACACCCAATGCTGGCAGCACTTGGAACCCTCGATGGAACCGCGAAACATCTGAAAGCCACAACCCAAGAAGATTCAACCTCAACACAACCATGAGTTCACAGACAAGGAGGTAGCGGGCGGTGTGGTTCATAGGTAGTTGTAAGTAGAGTTATAGACCAGAAAATGGTGTTATCTATAGTTGAGCTCGGCTTTGCTCATGTTAAGGGCTTCGGGCTTAGGGCGTGTGGGTCTTGTCAGGCCTCAAGTGGCTCAAGCTCTGTCCGCAACTTCGAAACATGACCCTGCGATTCACCGCATCAACATGCGCATTGCCTGGTCCTCCTCTTCCTTAGAGCATCCTCGAGCGTAGTTCGAGCAGCAGAAATCCTTTCCGCAAGAAAGCGTCAAGCCTTGTATCTTTCTACAGCCTACATGGGGGTTTACGAAAAGGGGGGGACCTCCAATATAGATCCCCACATAGTAAGATCCCCTTATCATACGGACCCCAATAAGGTACCCCTAAATTCGTAGACCCCCACATCTCTCGGAGTGCACCTTCTTATCATGCTCCCAGGAGTCCACGGCATCCGGGTATCCCTCACGGCCTCGGAAAACGATGGCATACGATTTCGTCTGGAGACGCGAACTTGCCCCGAGGCTGCAGCAGTTGAATTTCGGCCTCAGATCACACACACACACACACAAATCGCGAATTCAGCAGATCCAGTCCAATTACCACGCCACATGCTGGTCGGTTGATGCTGGTGTCCACGCTCATTCTTGCACCCTAAACCCTAAACCCTAAACCCTAAACCCTAAACCCTAAACCCTAAACCCTAAACCCTAAACCCTAAACCCTAGAACGGATTGTGTGGAAGCGAAAACGGGGCGGCCCGCCCGCTGCTGAGCTCGAAGCTTGGGAATCGTGGCATTTCCACAGCCCGTGTGATGTGAGGTGCAGCCTCGGGTTTAGGGTTTAGGGTTTAGTGTTTTTAAGTTTAGTGTTTAGGGTTTAGGGTTCAGGGTTTAGGGTTACGCCATTCGATGAAGATGTATTGTCGAGAACATCACAGCTCTGGCGATGGGTGTTTTCCAACATGAATGATACTTCGCATGGCATGCATTTCCTTTGGAAGAACTCCAGAAGCTAAGCCCCAAGCAGTATTTCCGATGCGCGGGGCTCCTCAACGTCGTCCGAATGCAAAGTAAGTAGGTTATAGTCTACGTAGCGAGTTCTGGTGTGGCGGTTCCCTGATTTGTCTTCTCATCTTGCTCTCTGAATGCACAGCCTGCACCCTATACGTGCGCCGACATTTTGTTTGACCTGTCCCGGACCCATAACAATGTAGGCTCACGACCAGGTAGCTGTATCAGAAGTGCAGTCGTAGTGCCTTGCCAAAGTCTGGGTGTTGTCCACATGCTACTCGCACAGTCAGCATAGCAACTCAATTCCCAGGGTGAGCACGTGTCGGAACATCCGAGCTGTTTGTGGTCGCAACACCACTTCTTCTGATCAGCATCCCATCCTGCTCTCGCAGCAGTGCTCGCAGCAACAAGCGATTCATGCGCGAAGTGCCCCCGCGACCTTCTTTCCAATTGGTGAGGCCGGTGACGCAGTCATACGGCTCTGCATCACAACCGACACTGTAGTGCTTGCAGCACTCCGCCTGACCCAGGAAACAGCAGCAGCCTCTTACCCTAAGCCTTATAAGCCCTACACAAGGTGGCTGGAAGAGAAATGGGAAGCCCGGCCCTCTTCTCCCTCGGCCAATCCTGACATCACTTGAGTTCAGGGGGGGAAACATGCTCGAGAAAAAAGTGTGCACGTTAAGGGGAAAAAGGAGGGACCCCTAGAAGGGACCCTTAATCTGATTTCCCTTACATATCCCCGATGTGTACCTTACATAGTTCCTACATACCTAAGAACCCCTAGATAACCCTTAATAACCCCGACGGTCCCTTATAAGGGTCCCTCCTGGAGTCCCTTGAACACTGCAGCCTCTGGATGATTTCCATAGGAAACAGCGCAGTCATAGGTGGAGGGCCTCAGCAAGATCTTCCTGAAAACTGGACTCCCCGTTTAAACCCGAAACCCTAAACCCCTAACCCCTAACCCCTAACCCCTAAACCCTAAACCCTAGACCCTAAACCCTAAACCCTAAACCCTAAACCCTAAACCCAACTCTCCTGGCCTGACCCAAAGGGCAACACCCAACAAGGATCCTGATGAGGTGGAGGCAACCAGCAAAACTTGGGATGTTCCCCCTTAATTATACTATAGCAGTCCTAGGGATTAGAGTGCCCCCTTTAGAATCCCTATTAAGGACTGTTTGCATAAGGGGACCCCACAGCAAGGCCTAAAAAAAAACCGTACCCTCTGCAAGCAACTTGCAACTGGAGGCGCTCGGACTTGCAGCCCAATCCTTCCAGCAGCACTTAAACGGTTTAGGGTTTAGGGTTTAGGATTTTGGTTGAGGTCTTTGAGAACGCCCGACTCATGCGCAGGTGCCTACTGAAGCGCAGCATCGATCTTTCTTGTCACCACTCCACCTGCAGCTCGAATCACAAGCCCGCGGCTTGAACACACGCCTGAGAAGATGATGTCAACCACTGAGATTCGTGCGTCAGCACATTTCCTTCTTCACCTGTTGCGAAGGATACTTCTGGGCACGTGCCCGGGAGAAACAAAACTTCCAGCCCCAAGCCCCATAAATCCTTAAAACCCTAGCACATTCAACCTGAAAACCTGAAGCCCTAAACCCCTTTTAGCCCCAAAACCTGTAAACCCTAAACCCTAACGCCTTAAACTCTAGAACCCCTAAACCCTTAACCCTTAAACCCTAACCCCTAAACCTTACCGAGGCTGGGAGTTCACGACCCCTCAAAAGGCAGACAAGCAGCAACTCTCCGGCTCCGGAGCGTCCCCCAGGTACGTGTTGCACCCCAGCTGCTCGTAGGTGCAGCACCTCGGCAGATTTAGGGTTCAGGGTTTAGGGTTTAGGATTTGGGGTTTAGGGTTTGGGGTTTGGGGTTTAGGGTTTTGGGTTTGCGGTTTAGGGTTTGGGGTTTAGGGGTTACTTGGAGGTTCAGGGTACTTCTAACCCCGATTCTATCTGTACTTATGAGCCACCTGAGTCCTCTAAGTAGGTTATAGGTAGACTCAGAATTGGGGTTGTATAATTACCCGTGAACCTCCAAGTAGGGTGTAGGGTTGAAGGTTTAGGGTTGAGGGAATATTCCCTTGTTGGGGTCCCGGATACAATCAGGCCCGTGCGTGATGCCTAAGGTTCTTGGACATCACTTTGGCGGCAATGCCAAATCTGGGCATCTAAGTTTGAGTTTTAGGGCTCAGAACCTAAACCCTAAACCCTAAACCCTACACCATAAACCCTAAACCCTAAACCCTCAAATCAACTACCCATGATTCAAAGCCATGATCACAAACTACCATCGTCGATCCGGGTGGCGCTCCCCAAGCCGATCTACCCTAAACCCCATTCAACCCTCTGACCCTCTAACCCTCTAACCCTCTAAGCCTCTAACCCTGTAACCCTCTAAGCCTCAAACCCTGTAACCCTCTAACCCCCGGACCCTCTAACCTTCTAGCCTTCTCTGAACCCTGAACACTGAACCCTCAACCCCTACAATCCATAGAACGGCGAAGACCCTCCACCTTGAGGGGAAGACCACTTGCGCTTGGTCTCAGTCCAGATCTGTGCAGCCACACCTGAAATTGGGACAGGCCGAGGGTCCTTTGGGCATTTTAGGGTTCTGTTTTTGCGGAGTTTGGGCTTTCGGGTTGGCGGTTGAGGACTTAGGGCTTATCGAGAATTGCATCGGGTTTGTGTCCGGGGGGTTTTTAACGGCGTTTTGATGATTTTCTTGTTTTTGCTTTTGGGCCAGTTTTGCTTGTTGCTTCTGAGCCAGGCCCCTTCTGAAGGACACCGGGGACCTTTCAGGCCTTTTTTTGGGGGGGGGCCAAACCCTAAACCCCAAACCCCAAACCCTAAACCCTAAACCCTAAACCCTTAAACCCTAAACCCTAAACCCTAAAGCCAGGTCTTCCAGGGGCACTTTTGGGGCAAAATGGCGGCCACGCAGCCTCTTTGATTGAAGCTGTTGGCTAATTTACCTTCAGCTCGGGTTGCCAGCTGCTAAATTCATGATGATGCCAGATACAACTTCTATTTATAGTGATCTTGAGGATTTAGGGTTTGGGGATCAGGGTTGATGGATGTGGGGTTTGGGGCTCAGGGTAGTCTCAGGGCATTTTAGTATGTCAGGGTCTCGGGTTTAGGGTCTAGGGTTTAGGGGTTGCTTTAGTGAGTCTGTGGGCTTGATGATGTAGTGTGTTTAGTGAGTCTACAGGGTGCTGGCGCTGAGTTC